TAGTGACAAGCATCAAGTGTATTTTGCCGTTTTCAAGTTTTGTTTTTTTCCTCTCAGATACCAACTAAATTTTTGCCTATCAATTCACTTTGAATATAAAGAAGTGGAATTTATAAAGTATAAACGTTACTCCTCAATGAAACTTTTTTATCAATCCAAGTAATGTACATGTAAACCTACAAGGTACTTCAGTATCATTGTTATGACAGCTTTCGGAGGCCTTGCTAGGTGTAGGTTGAACCTTGGCTGTCTAGTCAAACTTAGCATTTTATTTCTTCACTCCCAATCAACCATGATGTTGTTATCCTTAGGAGCGACAGCAAGAAATCAAGAAAAACATTCTGAACAAGCAGAGACGAGATGAAGAGATCCGACGTAAGCTAGAAGCTGAAAAACAAAAGCAGCGAGAATTACAGAAAAGGTTGGGAATAGTTTGTTACTCAGAAGGTTTGAACCTGTGAAAGAGGAGGGGAATGTTACTGTGACACACTTTTATTGAGCGGCTGAGCTATCCTTTTTAATGATTTCCTCTGCAGATATAAATGTCTTGAGGTACAAGAATAAATTGGGATTAAATATTTTTTCCTGTATTTGCTTTTGCATAGAAACCAATGTTTTATTGCATGCTGCATAATGTCGTGATAGTTAAATGCTTACTTGTGATGTGCAAGTCAGTTGATGTTCAGTACATGTGCTCTGCATGAAGGAAGACAGTACAGTCGAACCTCGTTTTAATAATGAGATGTCCTTTGGACTCAGCAAACTACCTTGTTATAACAGGAACCTTGTATTATCCGGAATGAAAACAATGAAAAAGAAAGGAATGGGACCTAACAATTTCCTTGGCTTAAGCAGAATCTTGTATGAACAGTGCTCTTAATAACGAGGTTGGACTGTAATTGAGTGTTGGGATATTGGCATCGCTGTAGCGATCTCAGTTGTTCAGCCAAATCTTCAATTTTCTACATGCTATGCTTTCTGTGTTGCATCACATTTGCCGTTTTCATGCATTCATTGTACCTGCCACTCAGGAATTATATCGTGCATTATATTAAAAATGGTCCCCATTATAGAAAACGTGAAGAGAGAATAAAGAAAGTGACAGAGGCGCGTGAGCGTCGGGCAGCCATTCAAGAGCAGAAACGACAAGAGATGGAACAGAAACAGCTACAGATGAGCAGACAGACAACCAAGAAGATTGAAGATAAGAAGCAAGAGGAGATACTAAGGAAGCAACTACAGATAAAGAAGAAAGCAGAGGCTGAAGAACGCCGCAGGCAAGAAGAGCGAGTACGGATGATGAAGATCAAGGAACAGGTGAGATGTCTTCAACTATTAGCGTCATTCTATAAATTCGGGGCCCAAAAGTCTGACTCTTTCTGTCCCTGTTAAATCTGACCTGTGTATTTTGATATGGAAATATCATTGAAATTAACCACAAGCTATATTTGTTTAGCAGGTAATTTGTTTTGCATTAATCACCCTTGGATATAAAGGAATGTGTTATAACTTACAATATTATGTGTCAAATATAACAGGAAGATGAAAATTTACCCTAAGTTTACTGAATTACCAAGTGGGACAGGTCTATTCAACTAGACCTATAGATTGGAGGATCTACCTGACATTCTTCAAGAGCCTTAATGAATTCATCAACATGTAACGCTGTCCAACCGTGTATCTAAAATACCCAGATATGGAGAAGACTTTCCTGGATGTGATGCATCTTACTCAGCTTGTTTCCAGTTGTGCTTCTCTTCAGGGAGCCTTGGGTTTAAACTGGAAATGACTGTGTGTTTCAGGAAGAAAGTTTTGGAGTGAGGAAAGGCTATGGAGAAACATTTTGCTCTTGAAGAAATTTTGCAAGTTCTTCATCTTTGTTTTGTTTGTAGGAGGAAGAACAGAGGCAGCATCAGGAGATGATTCAACGTAAGAAGGAGTTTGAAGAACAGGAGAGACAACGTCGTATTGATGAAGCAAGACGTCAACAGGAACAACGTAGAGGTGAGATGGAACGTCAGCGGCTTGAGGAGCTACAGAGACGAAGAGATGCAGAACTGGCTAAGGAAAGAGAGATGGAACTACTCAAGGAAGAAAGGTCAGGCTGACTTGATTGAGGATTATGACCACCTGGCTTATAAGTACTGATTAGTTGAACAGAAAAATATTACTTAGCAATTGATTGCCAAGCAGAAATAAGCTGAAACCATTTGGGTAGCTGTTTATGCCATTAAACCAGTTTTGTTTAATTGTTTTCCCTCGCCCTTTGGTGTTGTGCTTATAATTAAGCTTAACCCTAACCCTCCAGCCTACTTTGGCTAGAATCCCTGTAAGACTATCAGTCTGCGACATTTGTCAAAGTGGCTTGCCTGCCCAGGGTAGTAAGATCCAACAGGTCAACTCTGCCCAAGGCCAAACAGCCTGGGAGTCTGTGGTCGCCAGTCACCACAAGATCCAACAGTTTCATCGTCCAATGGGACTAGCTCCCATCGTCTCAACATGGCCAGTTTGTTCAGCTGCTGTTGATTGGCCAGTGAATCAAAGTGCATCAGACTTTTTCACCTGGCGCACTGTGCTGCATCCGGCAGGGTTAGGGTAAAAGCTTACGTCAATGATGCAACTGTATACATCTCTTTCACTGCTTTCATGTAAGTCTAGGAAAGTAGGAAACTAGGAATTGTACCAGAAAGTTAAAAACATGTATGACAAACTGTGGAGGGACTTGTTGACATTTAATAATTAATGGAGGTTGATCAGAGAGGATGTAGAGGGAAAGTGAATAAAACTGGATTGTTTATTGTTATTGATGATGACTCGAATAGATCAGACAGCAAATGTCAGTACTTTTCTCTCTTGTATTGCAGAGAGCGGGAAAGGAAGGCCGAGATGGAACGTAAGCGAGAGCAAGAGAGATGGGCCAGGGAAGAAGCTTTGGAGAAAGAACGACGTATTGAAGCAGAGAGGTTGGCTCGTGAAAAAGAAAGACAGCAGGTGAGTGGCTGTAATTATCATTTCCTGGTCCACAAAGCATAACACGCCTCATTGACTTGAAAACACTTGACAACGCAAGAGAAAATGGACGTTCCCCTAGATAGTGAATAATTCATGTTTTGCTAGTTTGTGTAAGGCTTCCTTGTGGTTTGTTGCAATATGCACATATTTTCTCATCTATGTTTTTCACATTTTTTTTAACACGTGTTTTGATATCCTGTCGTGTGGGAGGTCTTTTTGTGTATCTCATAATTAAAAATAAAGAACGCTTCACGTGCCCCTGAACTTGAACAAAAACAGGATTGGTTCGTAGTAAGATGTGTTGATGTAAATTTGTTTTAGCAGTGTTCACTATTTATCTTGTGTTTTTTGTTTTTGATCAAATTTTAAATTACATGTACATTATTTTGATTTTTTTCCCGTTCTTGTGGTTCTTTATTACTTTTATAAATCATGTGTGATGCTGCAAAGATCAAGGCAAGACTGGATTGAAATTAAACAGAAATTGAATTTCATTGCAGTAAGACGTGTTCAGGGATCCCTAAGCTGGAATATTTAGGCCATCCATGTACGTACACTGTAAAGTCTGAGCACGGCAGCTAGAAATCTCAATTTATCTTTTCTCTATGTGATAGGATCAGAAACATCTGGCTGAAATTATGCAGCAAGAGCGTGAACGCCGAGAACTAGAGAGACAAAAGGAACAAGCAGAACATGACAGATTAAAGGCGTCCATTTTGAAGCATAACACCAGTGCCTGTCTCAATACCAGTTCCTGTCTCAATACCACGGTGACCAAAGATACCTCACCGACGAGCTACGACATGACCCCACGGAGGTGTGTACTTGTTGTGTTCGCCCTTGAGTCTATCAGCATCCAAGCCTCTCATTTCTCCCTCCATGCCTCTAAGTGATACGAAAATATCGATTTGAAATTTATTATCTTATAGAGTACCTTTGCCTTCAACTTCGGACAATTATAACATTGATGACTTGGAAAGCGGTGACTCAACAGACGAAGAAGATTCACCCAGGAAGACCATACCATCTTGGGCTCAAGGTAAATTTAGCTCAGAGGATTTGCATTGGGTTCTGTGTGTTGGTCAGTCATTTGGGCCAGTGCTGTCAGAGATCCTTCTTAATATGGACATTTGCAGCAAAAATTGGGTCAGTTTTACAGAATATATCTCAATCCGCCATTCAATCCACCTCAAGCAGACACACCCCCTCTTTGGTTAAAAAGAGCCATGTTGGGCTGGAGTGTTCATTTTGTTGGTAGCAGTGCGACCATAATGCGTGCATTTCATAGTTGTTTGTGAACTAGGGAAGTTCAGTTCTGACCAAAGGAGCCTCCGCTGCTAAGAAAATTGCGCCCTCTCATGGTCCAGCTCAGGGTATGTTAACCACTTGCTTCTTTCATTGTTTGATTCATCAGGAGCTGGTTTGAAGGCAGCATTGATCAAGCAGTTTTACCATCCACCACCCAACCTAGACACCATGTTTGGACCTCTCCTGCCACCAGATCTTAGCATCATCTTTGCTAAGAAGAGATCTCGCTATTTGAAGAGAACAAGTTCTGCTGTGTGGGACTCCCCTCTGTTGAAGGCTTGAATATCAGCCAGTCCTTCTCCTGTCGGTGAATAAGCTATAAAGATTTGTACATCAACATGTATCATACTGTTGATCATACATCATATTGTTGATATGTCAGTACATGTATAACAAAGTGATAGTAGTGGATACATTTTGATACCCAGACTCTGTGATCACTGCGTTGGCAGCAGTGGGCACTTTAGGAGCACTGGTTGCTAATTATCGGAAAAGCAATAAAAAATGAAAAATGGCAATTATTCCCTACCTTTTGACAACGCATTTCTTGTGGATTGTTAGCTGAATGCATTTATTCAGATTAATGTTAGTCTTGGGAGCTTCATGTTACATGTCATAATTTGCTGGGAGAAGTAAAAATGGTTGTAAACATTTGTGAATAAAAAAAGTACATTGATGTAGTTATTTGTTTAAACACAAACATATCGTCACCGTTCTCACGAAGTGACACTAATGTCCAAAAAATGAAGTTTTGTTGATTTCCATTTTTTTCAATATTCTCATTTACAATCTTGACCAGTTTGACATGCTCCCACAAACAAAACATCATTGATGTCATAGTTGAATTAATGTTGCCGAGGTCAAGCATCTTGAAAACAGCATTTTGCATTTTCACGAAGAGACGCAATGCTTAACGTGCTTTGAACATGTACAAAACGTATTACAAGGAAACGGCTGAAAAGTAGGTCAACCAGGGTTTTTGTTTTTACGCAGTGACGTTAGCTTTGTTACGTTCACAGTTGTGCACGCGTAAAGACACGATCACCTTCCCTGTGACTATTATACATTGAACAGAAGGACGTTCATGTACAAAAATGTAATTTTCGTTTTCACAAAGTGACGTTAACCATTGCTCAATTAATTTTGGCGAATTAACCCATTTTCATACTACTTGCTCGGGTTAAGTGAACGATTAGACATCAGAGAATCATTTAAGAGACTTTTGTTACATGAAGTTGTCACAAAATACTTAGTTTGTCTTAGTTTTTATTAAGGAAGAACTTCTATAGCAATTATCTGGAAAACCTATTTTTCCTCAAAAGCCACATTAGCGACACTTCCTGGTAGCGGTGACGATATATGTGGTGAATATGTGTGGTGAGGCGGGTCCTATGTATCTAGGGCCCGTTTTTTCTCACTGAACTAGATTTCAATCGGTAATCCCAAGGCTGGTTGTTCCATCCATTAGGCAGGTTCTGGTGTCATTGAACCAATGACGGATTACTTGTCGAGATCTGGATCTGTTGGAAACAAACGGGCCCCTATTTTATAGCTATAACAAGACACTTGATAAAAAGATGATCACAATTGTATTTGCTTTTGTGTGTGTGTGAACACAGACCTTTTGACCTTGGAAAATGTGTTATTGATCATTTAACACTCATGCTAAATGCATGAGGAGGGTGAGGATTTTTCCCAATCTCAGTTTTGTCTCTGTGCCAGTCCTAAAGCCATAAAATCGTGCAAAACCCAAGAATCAGTGTGTTTTTACAGGATGATAGGTGGTTTGGGTAAGGAAAACGCTATGTAAATATAGGCCTGATTGACTTTAATTGCCTTTGATTGCAGCCATTTGTTCCTTTGATTGTTGTATAAAGTGTGACAAGATGTAGACTTAAATTAATTAGATTACAAAAAATGAAATGCTGTACTCTAACTGAAAAGTTGGTAGTTATTTAACAATCTCAGCCTTACATTGAAATGTACATAATATACATGTAGTAACAGAAACATGCTCTCAAAGTAAGATACATGTAAGTGTAATCCTTTGCTTGATATGATGAGTAGCTGGTGGCGTGTAAGATGTACATTAATATTAATTTTTTTGGGATCCAGTAGGGTGGATGTCTCGTCCGGGAATATCTTTAACATTTAGTGCACACATCATCTAAATCTGTCCACATTGTTTGGCTATACATCCTGTAATTACCCCGGTAATTTTAGGTTTCTTCTGTGATTAAATGCTCGAATGTTGAGTTATAGACAGACGTGACTCCGAATCTCTTTTAGAAGATGTACTTGTACTTTACATTACAAACAAGAATTTGTAGATGCCCGTGTAGGATAATTTTTCCGTTTCTTCTGGGTTGAATGCATGTACCACCACGCGAATGCCTTAAAATCACCGCTAAAATATTGCTGGCTAAGAACCTCTGTGTCTCATCTTGAAGCGCGTGCCTTGCATACCAGTGCCCAAATTAGGAGATGTTTGCAGGTGGTGCGCGTGCGTTTCATGCCTCTTCGACCAATAAGGTGTCGACTTAGTTCAATGGAAGCGCGCTCAATGTGTATAACAACTGCAGTATTAATGGCGTCCACTCAGAATAGTGATGCATGTACAAGAACAGAAGCGGCATTTTTGAAGACAGTCATAGCAGAATTAGAACAGAATCGTTGGATTGGAAATGTCACAATTCTTGACTCATTTTCCTTGCACCATGAACATACTCGGAGCTTGTAGGTCCACCTGAAAGCAAGGACAGTTGGACATGGAAAACAGCCTTTGAGGTAGGCAAGTTAACACCATTTCACAATGTAGTTGTATGCCTGTGTGAAGTGTGCAGAAACTTGGCTTTTGGTTTCGCGAATTGTAAACCAAACTTCAGAAATAAAACTAATGTGAAATGGAAACATTTTATGCAAAATGATGTGTTAAGCTTTGTCGTTGTAGTTGAGGGAAATAAACACGGTTACATAATTTCATGTTGTCCACGGTTGTAAGCCAATGAATGTAGCCACGCGCTTAGTACTTCGACCTGTTTCTATGACGTCACTCTTATAGACCACTCTCCTTTTTGCTCACAACTTATACGGGCTTCCAAAGTGTTCCAAGAAATCACCCTGTGGTTTTTAGATTTACCTCCAATTTGTTGAAAATGTAAACTTATTCCATTAATTGTATTTTGTATGTTAGTAGCACGTGACTATCTGATGTTTTGATAGCTGCGTGGGATTTTTAGCACTTCATGAATTATTCGTTTCCATTTGAATTGACGGCTAGCCATAATTTAGTAGCCACTTGTAGGAAAAGCATAAATGTGATGTAAAAGAGCAGACGCTATAAGTTGAAAGTCTCCTACATGGAATATTTTGAAAGACACTGGATGTCACTGCCGCCACAGGAACGCCGTCGTCTGCCGACAAGTTGGATCGGCGCGGTTGCAACCAAACTTACGTCACTCATAATTCATGCACACACATTAAAAAGTCATTCTACGGTGCCTTAACTGTGTCCTAAAAGCTCTGTGGATTTGTGCCTCTTGAATTAGAAACAGATTTGGGTGATAATACCTAGGTTGGTGATGGAGTTTGGGAAACAGTACACCCCCTAAGTTTTCGGCCCAAAAAGGAACAAAAGAGGGCATATTTTGAAATGAAATTGACAGTCATTTGGTACCATCACAGACGTTATAAACGTATAGGTCGCCAGGTCCTATTCAAAACTACAGGTTTTTTTCGTGAACTACGCGGAGCCCGACTAAAATCAAAACTATGGGCAAATTCACCCTCGGGCCGTTTTCCAATACTCAAGTTCGTCTCCGTCTCAGGCTTCGTTCCCAAAACCAGTCCCCGATTGTGGGCCTGAAGCGTTTAAATTACATTGGATTACTGTAATTTTTGGCTCTCTTGCATCTTATTTGAAGTTCTGTGGCACCATTAGACAGATTACTGCGCTGCGCTTACAGCTTCAAAGTCAGCTAGTAAAAAAAACAGTTGAAGCCTGAGACGGAGCCGAAGTTGAGTACTGGAAAAGCCTTGGTAATCGCCCCGAGCTGAAATGCACCCCAATCGGCGAAAGAAAGACAGGTGGGGTCTTGCACGCGTTGTGCGTGTGCGCAAAGGCTGAGTTTGGGCCGCTTGTTCTCCTATGTTCACGAACAGCTCGATTTGTTGTTCGTTAGTCGGCCGCTCGAATGCCACGGAGGAACGTACAACCGGTTATCGCTGGTTGTTGCATGCAACATAGCGGCATCCATGTACGTTCTTCTAGAGTAAACTTTAGGTAGCTGGGCTGAATTCTTTTCTATTTAAAAAGGAACATTCTTTCTGTATGATAGAAAATAAGTATTATTAATTTCGCACAACTTCCCACTGTCTCTGGCTTTGTATTAAAGCCATCTCGCTATTTTTGCGGCTGTTCAAAAATTGAAATCTCACGAGTTTTTCCGTGTGTTCCTGTAAAACCCTGACGAGGTGGTGGTGAGTGATCCTGTTCCAGGAACAGTGTCCTTGATCGTGTTCCCGCCGTTCGAGCGCGAGAACAAGAAACTCGTGCCAAAAACAGACCATCCGGAACTCAACCATAGACAGCACATACCGGAATAAATTAGTTACGCGTACTCAGCGTGCTCCGCTCCAAACGCACATAGGCTAGACTTGTGCGCCAAATGAGTAAATTAACTGTGGCCTATATATAATATAACTCTACATAATGGAGATAAATGTGAGTAGCACAGACATAAATAACTTTCATCGACGGCAAATTAATATCAGTACATACGTATTTCGTGCAAAGTAATACTCGCCGAGAAAGTTGGATGCGTGAACACGTGAATTTAGGGTGCACGGTATATGCCAATTGTTGGCTTCAAAAATCTGGCAAAGTTGAAATAAGTTCAACACTGCCGACAGACGCCGTCAGTGTTGGCGTCGGGTTAGGAAAGTTCAGAACGAGATGTTTCCAAATATTGCCCTTACGTCGGGGAGTTCGACGCTGTCGGTGACACAGGATCATAGGCCTACTTATGGAAACCATGCAGGCTTATCATTCTAATTGTAAGAAGTCACTTTGGATTTGGTTTTAAGGACATCTGAATCAGCCCAATTCAGGACCAGTGGTGTAACTAAATGGTTTTACAAGCAAGTTTCAAAGGGAGATGTTATTTTACTATTGTAAGCGTTAATATCGATTTTAGCAATTGCAAACGGTGAATGGGAAAGTGCACGCTTCTCATATCCTTTCCATCCAGCCACGCTCCTGGGTGGGCTAGATGTATATTGCCTGAAGTCCAGTTTGCTAGAATTTCTACTGAAGATCTGTGTAAGTAGCCCTTGGATTCGAAGTTTTGAACCGTTTTTCAACTTCATTTGCGAAGAACATTTCATCAGCTTCAAAATACCCCAAAATTAATGACGAAGAAAATTACGCACGTTGTGACAGGAGGCTGCGTGCGCACGTGCGCGTTTCTTACGCCGTGTAGGCATTGTGATGTATCACGTGTACATAGTGTCAACTGACGTCACTGGGTAATGTTACATTATTCTTTTTAATCGTAGAGACTCGAACGAAATTGTTGACATGATTGTATGAGGATTTAAAGTCATTCACTGTTTGGTGCAAGTAACTAGTAGGCCGACGACACAACAGCCTCGGGCCCAAGAACAGTGATTAGAATGGCCTTTATCGTGGTGTGTCATTCAGAATTTAGGCCTAATTCGTAACTCTGAAAAGATTCTTGCAATTATGGAGGACGCACTGGCACGAAGAGGGGCGATTTATATTCACGCCAGCGACATTCAGAATACACTAGATTCTGGTAAAACACTGGACGAACAAACCAACCAGCGTCGCGTAGGGCAGAGAGATGGCTTTGAAGACATACCAGAAGATCAAGAAGCACCAAAGACGAGTAGTCGGCCAACACTGCCCAATGCCCGGCTCAGAAGAAGACACGCTGAGCCAAAAGATGATCCACCGTTTGATAGGCAAACACGAAGTGCCACACCTGCTAAATCAGATGAAACTAAACCGACAGCTCACGCACACAGGAGACGAAGCATCAGTTTGCAGGTAAGTTACAAGTTAGTATTAATCGATTAATTTAAATTTGATTAGAATTAAACACGAGTTTTAAGAATAATCACGGCAAGGGATAAATCTCTAGCGTCTAGGCTTTTTTTTATTACAACAGGGACGTAGGCCAAGTACAGTGCCAGAGTTTTCCACCAATATCCCCCAGGACAGACGAATGAGTGTTCGGCGAAATAGTACTCTGCCTGCCCCTCCCACGCAAGCGTTCGTCTCATCAATGCAACATACTCGTCGTGCTAGTACGGTGCCAAAGACACATGAACCCGATCCCGCCCTCACCGACGATCAAAAAGCAGGTTGGCATCTTACTGTCTTCGTTGAATATAATTTTCTTTACTTTGATTTAAAGGGTTTTTAAAAAAATGGTTAAGTTAATCAGTACTCCCTCTATACAAAAGCTGCCTTTTCCTTCAACAATTCTGATTCATGGTGTTTCTCCTTTTGGTAGCTTTCAAGGAAGCATTTGACCTGTTTGACAGGAATGGTGGCGGTACCATTGATGCTGATGAGTTATCTGAAGCACTGAATTCTGTGGATATTCATCTTTCCTCGGATGAGATTAAGGAGGTTTTACAGGCAATCGACAAGGATGGTAAATTTATACGCTTCTTTGACAATTGTTAATTAACGAAGAACGCAATTTGACTTCCAGAAGGGAAAAATTTTAATTAAGTAAGATGAAAAAGCCTCAGGGAACTTCGCAGAGCTCAAGTATAGGAGAGTAGTTGGAACTGCACGACCTCTGCCGTGCTGAGAGTTGAACCCGTTTTGATGGGTTTAGTGAGGGAGGACTGGCAATGTACCGGTACACAACGTGCGTGACACAGAATGTTAAACGCAGCAGTCAAAGTTTAGAATTGGGTTGTCTTACTACCCATTGCTTCATTAGCTTGACAAAAGAAGAAAAAAGAGTGATGTCTGTTTGTTATACTTCAAACCCTTGAAATAAGTTTGAAGCTTTTTCTCTTTTCATCGCTTTTGGTTCTCAGGGAGTGGTGAAATTGACTTTGACGAATTCTTGAATATAATGACCAATACGGAAAAGTTTCTGGAAATGTTTGGTAAGTGTCATTAGTATTAAGGGTGATTTGTATTGGAGTCGGGGGAAACATAACAAAATTCCAATTAAGACTAGATGAAAACAGTTATTGAACATTTCTGCGTTTGTGCCACGGTATGTGTTGGGGGAATTCGAGATTGTAATTAAATGAAAATTGATAATTTTGGATGATATGAAATGACTTTAAATAAGACGACAATTTTGTCTTTATGAAACACACTATTAAACTCGTGTGTGAATGTTGTTACTTATCCTTTTCATGACCTTTAGCCTCTAGGCATGAAGGTGAAGGTCCTCGTAAGATCCCAGCAGCAGGAAGAGGGCACATTCTCTTTGACGCATTGACACAATTCATGAAATCCTCTGCTCTCAAAGCGATGGATGAAATTGTCGGGTCTGTTAAACATTTTGACTATCTGTCATTCTCTTATTTTGAAACATTGCAATTTCTGTCAACGTTTCGTGCATACTGTAGCGTTAGCAATCGTCTAACATACTTTAAAGACTGCATTGCTGTGACCTTGATGGTGTGAAAGTTGATTCAGTCTTTCTGTTAGTGGTGTTTGTCGAGGAAAGGGTAATTTGAATTAAATAAATGTTTGTAGGTATTACAAAAGCAAGTACCGTCGTGCGAACGCTCCCCATGTGGTCATGCACTATGCGGCCGGGGCCAGACTCATCGGTTTGACTGAGAAGCAATTGGCTAGACATCTGGAGAAACTGCAAGCCAGTAACAAAGGTCATTAAAAACTGGAATTTATGTTTGTTTTAGATGTCTTGTTTCAGAAGTACTCGATTTGTGTTTTTTTAGACTACCGTTGTTTTCAAATTGAGTTTTTCAGATCAACTAATTTTCAAAACAATTTGCGATAAGAGTGGTCACGTTGTATTGAATTCAGCGGCCTTTTTTTAATGAAAAGAAATGATTTACAATTTCACAAAACTCAGGGAAAGATTTGAAGAGCCCATACGCGCAACCTCTTCGTATCTTTTTGACTGGAGCACCTGCCAGAACTACTAAGAAAGAACCAGCAGTCCATCCTGATAAGGAGCGTCGACGATGCACCGGCAAAATAAGATTAACTGTGCATCTACCGCCCTCTACTGACGCCATTTCGTTGAAAACAGACGGCAATGAAGGCCAAAGCAAGGTATGATGGTTGGCACCATTTCAGAAAACAACCCTGTAACCAAGCAACAAAATGTAATGGTAAAATGTATTGATTTTGACAGACCTGGTTTTTGTTTAGTAGAAGAATAAGTGAAAATGAGAGATAGGATGGTGGATGCCTGCTGTAGTTGATTTCATGCACAGAATTAATCTTTCATTTCGAAGCGCCTTTACTTGACGGTCAAAAGGCCCACTTTTAAACGACAATCGAGTGCTTAGCTGCCACAGTGATGCCTGAAAGTCCCCTTACCAAAAAAAAAAAAATACAGTGGATTTTTATGATTCATTCACTTTTTCATTTTTTTGGTGTACTTTGCAAAAGGCCAGAAAAAACTTCCACAACTTTTTTCAAGTTGTGTTGTAGTTGATGTGTTTACCTGACCTATCACGGCAAAGATTATGAATTGAGTTAGAGATTAAAAATGAGCATTTATTTTTGTCTCTGTGGAAAAAAAACCAATAAAATGAGTATGGATGCCAAAATGGAGATATGATGGCAAGATTTGTGTGCAACATTTGCATGCCCATATCTAGGCCCCTATAGGTGTGAGAGATAGTGGACAGACTTATTTGGACAAGCAGCGGAGATTGATGCCTTATTGTACTAATGGTGTAATTTGAGTAAGTATAGCCTCAAAGTGTCCGGACAGTGAACTTCCTAGAGCAATCAGCCATGAGTGTAGCTTTGCAATTGCTATCAGATTACTGGACCACACTTGGAAGGTTACGATGGTAGTGTTTAGACAAGTGAAGTAGTTCGTGGTGTTGTTCTTGTTATGTCTTCTGTCTTCAGGGTTCTTTATACAAGCCTCTGCTTATTCAACAGCCTTATGCTCTGTTCTTTCCTCGTCTGTACTTGGACAAATGTTCTTTATGTTATCATGAGTTCTAATCTTTTTTTTCATTAGGTATCTGAAAAAAGTTATTTACATCCACTTTGCAAATTTTAGTGTCCCACGTTTCTTTAATTTCTGATGTATTTTCTTATAAGCTTATCCATTTTGTCAATTTCTGTGTACCCAGTTCCCTTAAATAGCAACGTAGTTTTTTTTAAAGAGTATGGAATAAAGGTCTTATTGAATGAAACTGAATTAAATATGTTGTTTACGTTATCCATTGTTGATTTTACGTACTGTAAAAATAATTCAAATGTAAATCAATGTTGATAATCACCCTTGTCCAGGTCGTGCGTAATTCTAAGAATACCAACATGCACATGAAGCCTGTCTTCCAGCCCCGTCTCGGTTGGGTCAAACCTCACGTGAAGAGTATTGCCGCCAGGCTACCTCAGAGAAAATCAGTTCTCACTATGGAAGACCTTGCATCCATCAGGAAACGGGTAAAGATAGGAGCAGATGGTTGTGGCAAATTGAGAATGCCCGATTCGCTGAGTACAGACAATTATGTTTCACTGATTATTATGTTGTGTTTGGATAAAAATGGTAGCCCCTGACACGGACTTTCACAGTGTTTATTTTTCATCGAATCATACTGAAATCATGTGAACCTTGTTTGGATTTTTACTTTTATGTTTTAACATCACTGCATAGAAATCGTCACCGAGCCCCCCCCAAAATTGTATTGTCGTTTGGTGCATATCTTTTGATAAAAGAAAGCGCTAGTTACTGAAATAAACCGTACCCTTCTGTTTCTCATTATGGTAATGCATTTGATGCATTTGTTCCGAAGTTATTGTCATCTCTTCCTCCATTTTCTCGAAGTGATTTGCACTTACTCAGGCTTATTGTGATTGCTTTGTTTACTCTCCCATTATCAGATAACAGACGCTACGAGAGATCACTACCACGATTTAGCGAAGAGCCGAGCGGTCGAGAACCAGCGATACTGGCGCTCACTTCAGCCACAATTCATCCCATCAAAGACGCTACGAAGTAACTTCAGGAAAGTGTTCTGTGCATACATTGCTGCAGGACAGCGAAAAATTTAAATACATGAAGGAAAGGGAAGTTTCTTAGCTACACAGTCTTTCAACATGTGTAATGAAAATATTTAATTTTCTGACCTTGTATTCATAGCAACATCGTGTATGCATACGCCTTGAAGCTGCGAGGTTTATACTCGAGTTAAGTTAATTTGATCCCCGTAAAGTGTAATTACTAAGCAAACTAACTGGGTAGTTCTTGAAACATTTTTTACCGGGCAAGCTTACGGAGTCTGGAGTCAACATTTCAAAGTGGTAAAAAAATTAAAATTCAAGACCTACGCGTCTTTCGTGTTTTTGAGCTACAGTTGGACAAAAACCAGGCTTGCATGTTGAACAACCGTTTCTTATAAAATTGATATCAATTGATTTACACGATGTAATGGAATTTAAATGCATTGCAGTTATTGGATGAATAAGACGAATTTCAGAAGCGAAGGCTTTTCCGACAACCAAATCCAACGAGTGTGAAACTGATAGGCCTAACTGCAATTAAACGAATTTTTTGTTAACATTTTGATTTTCCTTCATGTGTGTATTGTGTCACTGCGCTCCTAGATCCTGTGATATCCACTCATTCTGTGCAACCCTGACAACCCCCATCTCCACTCAGTCATCACCATCTCACTGTACAGGCATATATAGATGATGTGTCAAGTGGAAACTCGACAGATATTTTGAAACTGAAATGAGTGTGACAGTCTTTTCTCCCCTTGTGTTACTTGACATCTCTCGTGATACCATTCATCAGATTATTTACCGAGCCTTTTCAAAACATTGAGTTGAATTACGCCGTTAATTATTCGCGCTGTCTTGAATAATGACGGTAATTCGTTCATTTTTGTCGTCTTTTTTCCTCTTTTAGCCACAACAAAGAGCCATGATTAGGATGAGGGAGATTCATAAAGTCTGTCGTGTTTTTTACTGCGCTACGGAATTTCATTCCCCTTTACATAATGCAAGCCTATGCGGCTGTAAAACCAGCAATTTCATGATAATAATTTGACTATCTCTAAAGTACTGACTAAAGTCATTACTGTTATTACGAGTGACAGTCAAAGTGGGTCTACATAGACTGTGAACCAGGCAGTAAAAATATAGTCTTTACATCGTAATTACTAGTCCAATAGGAAGATGCGCATCTGTACATAGTTCCTAATTGCTACTGCTTAAAGTCAAATGAATTATATATTAGCATGTATTCAGAAGCAAGCAGCCACACAGCGAGGTGTGGAGGCTTGTTGCTATAGCAACATGTCAACGATGATATTGATCCGTGTGTCTGCGTGTTGTTGGGCAGTGTGGTGGCCTGTATTCAAAACGCTATCGAATTTTCCTTTGTGACGTGTCACTACAGACCCCAGCATGTTTCGTCCTTAGATTAAATTGTAGAATATAGCTCGATTATTCTTACATGGAAAATTGATTGTCAACAGTAAATTAGCTGCGTTAATGAATGTAGGCCTACATGCCATACCTGAAATGATCGTAAGAGAGTTACAAGAACTGTAACAGGTCATATTCTAAGGTAATGCATTTTTCTTTTTTGCAATTTTCATCAGTGAATATCCCTAGGGCACTGATTTTCATAATAATCCCAGTCCACCAAGAAGCCCTCGTTAATTAAATGTAGTCGTGAAGATGTTTAGCAACAGGCACAATATCTTTTCCATGTGAAGATAATTTACAGGGGGCAAACGAAGTGTTGCCATGGGGCACTTTATACTTACAGCTATTTGCTGAAATCTTTTCATCTCCCCAGGATTCGTACCACCAATCATTTCGCAAACAATGACATGCAAGTGTTTGTTGCACGCATTGCGGTGAACCTCTTCAAGCAAACATAACCGCCTCAGTACCTGTCGATAGAGGAAATGCCTACTTTCAGTAGTCCTTTGCATTTTTCTAAAGGCCGTGTGAACGAAACGGTAGGTCTTGTGACTCGGAAGCCCGAATTGGCATACATGTAAATGTCTGTTTTAAAATAATAATAAAAAACTTTTGATCATGTGTCAGTCATGTATACGGTCATTATATGCACTTGGTGCTTAGTTTTACCGACATGATATAATCATCGGTCTCCATCTGAGTGATTCAGACAAAGCAATGCCCTTGTTTTATTGCCAGTTGTACTTGCAGTGGACGCGCGTAATGACACGAGGAAAAAATGGCGATTCGTGCAGACATCGCATGACACAGGCTCCACAATGAAGGTTACCAATCAATACTTTCTATGGATCCGTGTACACAGCTGCTGTCTACCAACGAAGGTGACTGTGCCGTACCGTTGTGTAATGACTTGACGTCACATAGCCCTAATGCAGGTGGTGGAATTGGTTACAGTGGTGGGTTAAGGTTTGGATTGTAAGTGACGGATGAGGAAGATGCAGAAAGCCTTCCAGGGCTTACAGTCAGATTGAGTTGAACCTGTAAACCACTATGCATTTATACAAACACTCGGTAGACAGTTTAATTTGAAAGAGTGTCTGTGCATCAGCAGTAAAGTGTTGATGATGATGTAAAACAACCGATGCTCCGGGCTGCCATTGAAATAACTTCAAGTGCATCAAAGTGGTAACGTTCGGCCGCCAAGACGGCGACATACGGAATGGGTAGCGGCTCCTCCAAAAAAGCCAAGCAACTGGAGGAAGAAGAGAGAGAATTTAAGAAGAGGAACATGCAAAAGGATAAACTAAACGACGAAGGTGACGAGGAGGTTGGTGAAGATGGGAAGAGGAGAAAGAAGAAACCTAAAGATGATGAGTACCTCATTCAAACCTTTGCAGGTCACAAAGGGGGAATAAACTGTATGAGTATAAACGAAGATGGAAATATGTTTGTTACTGGTGGTGAAGACAAAACTGCTATTATGTGGAACTTGAACACTTTTGAACGGGTCCATACGTTGAAAGGACATAAGAGTTACATCACCTGCGTCCAACTTCTGGATGAATTCTGCTACACCGGCTCATCAGACAAGGCCGTACGGAAATGGAATGCCAAGACTGGTAAGTGTGAGTTAGTAATCGAAGGTCATGCTGCTCCCATCAATAGACTTATCTGTACTGGCGATTTTCTCTTCACAAGTTCCTACGATCGCACTGCTATGTGTTGGGACCCAGACGACGGTGAACTTCTGCATATATTCCGTGGTCATCGTCGTGGAGTTACTCCTCTCATGTACATTCCAGCCGAAGATGCTCTCAAGGATGACGTGATTGACATCGATAGTAACCGAGACATCTTAGTGACGGGCAGTGCTGATGGAACAGCTATGTCCTGGAACATGGACTCCGGTGATAGCTTAGTAACTTTCAAGGGACACAAAGGTGGAATTCTGTGCCTGGCTGCTGATTCAACCGGTAGTGTCTTATTTACTGGGAGTGCAGACTGTACAGTCAAGAGCTGGAATATCAACACTGGTGAAATTTTCAAGACGTTTGAAGGACACCAAAGTGCTGTCGTTTGCCTCCAGGTAATTGATGTTTTGTTTTCCCACCGGGCTAGGCCATTTCCTCATATAAAGTCACAGTTTAGGGTGACTTTCTTTTTATTTCCTGATTCTCAATCTTACCAAATCGATGAGTGGAGAAAATTGATGCATCAATGCATCAGTGTCTGTAAATGCTTGGTGAAAGATGTCAAGTTGCTTCCCTGTTAGGCCCATACCGTTAAATCTTAAATTAAGGAATTCATCCCACACGGAATGCTCAGTGAGAACGCTTTCATTTCCGGCGGAGGTGATTATAAGGTCTTCACGCATCGAATCTTACTCCACTAGTATGGGATAAATCCTTGTCAAAGACTTGCCGAAAATTGTCTCTTGGCAACAATTTTCATGTTCTAGAATAGGGGATGGGTCGTACTTCTTGCAACTGAAATGACTGGAAATGCTTTGCACTAACTTGGCACTTTACGTACTAATTGTTTTCGCATACGTTGCTAAGATACCGATGATCCTAGTGTCTTTTCCCTCTGATAAACAGTGGAAAATAAATCCATGATGTTATGAAAATAATATTTGGATATCCGTAATTGATCTTAGGCAGAGTTGAAACTAAATAAACTGGATAAAATGTCCAGGTCATTTCTCGTCAAATTCAAGGGATAAATAGTTACATTGAACACATTACGTTTATTTCAAAAGACTTCGTTAAAGTCTCTTATCTTTTGCCGTATATTACAGGCAGTATTCCGACTTGTTCATTATGCACGTGTGTAATAAACGATGTTGATGAATCTGGATATACCTTAATGATTAGTTGCAAATATTTCTAGGGGAAAAAGGCCAAATCTTTCAGAGGGGAAAAGTTCAAATTGTTCTCAATTGAGGATACACCGAATGGATGGAATAATGTTCAAAAATATGATTCTTCTGTTCATTTCTTTTTACCCTCATTTGTACCGAAAGCAAGAACTGCATACTTACCATACACTGCCATCTCTTCGCATTTCATTTATAGTTAATATTAACTTTCCGTCATGAAAACTTCAGATATCGGATTGAATTGGATTTATTCGGTATTACCTCACAGCAAAAATACAGCAACAAATAATTGAAATTACAGAAAATATCATGAACAAGATTTGCACAATATACACAAAAATTAGGATATACCAGGGATAGCCCATCGGGTAATACCAGGGATAGCCCACCAGGTATTACCAGGGATAGCCCATCGGGTAAGACCAGGGATAGTCCATCAGGTTATACCAGGGATAGCCCATCAGGTAATACCAGGGATAGTCCATCAGGTAATACCAGGGATAGCCCATCGGGTAAGACCAGGGATAGCCCATCGGGTAAGACCAGGTATAGTCCATCGGGTAAGACCAGGTATAGTCCATCAGGTAATACCAGGGATAGCCCATCAGGTAATACCAGGGATAGCCCATCAGGTAATACCAGGGATAGTCCATCAGGTAATACCAGGGATAGCCCATCAGGTAATACCAAGGATAGCCCATGAGAGTATTGCAACTTATTTCCAATGGGGTCCCCCTATTTATATCTCGATACATATATTCTTGAAGCTTATCGTCTGATTCATCATGTCCAGCTAGCATAACCGGGGAGTCACGGCTTGTCCCCAGTTGAGGTACTGTCGTTGATGCCTGTTGCCCTGGAAAATTTGACATTTATTAACATCCTGGATACAAACCATAATTTGGTTTTGGTGCTGCCGTAAAAAAATGTGTTCGCCCCTTGGGTGCGCCCTGAGAAATCTAGCCAGTAGTTACGTTGTGACCACGTCAGTATCTGTGTTTCTTGTTTGTATTTATTTATTTATTCTTTCATTTTGGTCGCTTTAAATGGTGAATCATATACATTAGTTTTGGACATCATCCTTCTCGTTTAAAATGTTTACTTCATGGGATATAGGAAAGTGTATTCGTGTTTATGTCATAGAAAAAAATCCATAATTACCTGTGGAAAGTCATTCGCATCAGCCATCATTCTGAACAACTGGAATGTTCAAACTTCGTTCACCAGAAAAGATAGGGCATTGTTACAAGAAAGTCGATAACCCCGGTGTTCACTTCTGCAGACTCAAATTAGGTCTAAATGAAATGATGCGTAACTTTACAGCGTAGCAAATGAGCATGGTGGCAATATCCGTATTGATTAAGACTCTTAATGTGGAAATTTGTAGCGGAGCCGCCCCCGTTGTGGACACCATGTAGCTTAGGGAACAATTTTTTCAAATCAATAAATATAGTAGCAGCCATTTGATATCAAGCAAGCGAATAAATCTTGTGTGGTGGTTTAAGTGGGTCTACAGGATGTCTGAATCAATCGGAAAAACAAACCATAAAATCCGACAATAACTTTGCTCGCGCAACATAAAGATGCCAGATCGAGGTCGTATACCTGCCAGTTGGAAGGGGAGCTTTGTTTACCATGATAAAGTGGATCTGTCTATAAAAAGTTGACAATTCATCAAAATAGAGAAACTTGGATGTTTAGCCCAAGCATTGGAAAGAGTGCACCTGCGGCCCACGAGGCCATGGGGCCATGACTTCTGTTTTAGCACCATTATCATGACTTGTGCAATTAAACATCTTGTCCCATTTCGTTCCATATTTTTGGGGTGTTATTGTCTATTGGTTTACATGTATTGTGATTTTTTTTTCAGTCTTTGTGTATTGTCTGACTTTTCAAAATTCATTTCCGCAGTCTTTTCTGATCATCCCATTAATTTTAGAACTGTTTAGAAGCTTTGTATTCGCCTTCAGATAACAAGTCCGAGTAAATCCGTTGACAAAACTGAGCATGATGAAGCGCTTCGCCAATAATTGTGACTTACCATTATTATTACATTTGTGTAAATGAGAATGGCAGCCTTTTGCGTCACCATTTACATAGGCAATGAATCAAGATGTTGCTATAGCATTTTACAGAAAATAGTTTCATTTTCTAAATCGTTGTACCTTTCTGTTTTTCTCTCTGAAACCTGTGCTTCTTCTAGAAATTTGTGGAAGCTTTCATAGCAATAAAGGAACAACTCTTGATAATTGAAGCACGCCGTATGGAGATGAAACACGGCGCTGACAGTACGAAATGAAGGAGAAATTCAAGCTGGCTACTGTTTTTGGTTTTCCGTTGCTATGGCGACTAGCACAAGCGTCCTCTAATTAATGAATGCGTGTTGGAGCTTTGCATGCGTGTGAGAATGAAACACCTGCGCTATCCGTCGTTATATATGTCGTACACTCGATTTCTGCGAGGTCATCTCAGGAAAAGGCATCTATATTTAGGCCCTACAAACATCTGGTCGATCAAGTAATCCGTCCATAAGATAATGCTTTCATCGAGAAAAAGATAATCTCCGTTAAACTAAGAAACATTTCAAACGAACCTATTTTGATTGTAATCGTTTTATGAAGTAAAATTAAGTAAAAGACAATTGTAAATCTCTGTGTGCAAGCTCATTGAATTAACTATCCAGTATCCTGTAAACGAAGATCACCTAGCATTTGTATTAAAACAAGACTTATCCTGTTCAAACATTGTTTTTGCTCTTTTTCAGGTGATAAACAAATTGATGTATACAGGCAGTTCTGACCAAAGTGCTAAGTGTTGGGTGACGGAATTCGGCGACTGTACACGTACTTATCAAGGCCATAAACACACAGTTAGCGCTGTTCGCTTTCGAGATGGATTAGGTATAAATAAAGATGCAGTTATTCCTTTAAAGTGATACTCGTTGTTATTCTAAATACTGAGTCTCAGGTGGGCCATCTTTTTCAAGAGGAAACGTTCTGAAAGTGCCTTTCATTCTAAGACTGACTACCTGTATTCGTCTGTTTTCTTCTGCAGTTTACACGGGATGCGGTGATAACCTTGCCAGGGTTTACGATGCCAAGTCAGGGGCATTGAAAAGGACGTTTAAAGGTCACGAATATTGTATTAATGCCATCATGGTACGTTGACGCTATCCAACGTTCATTTAACCTACCTGTTAGATTTTGACCTCGTTGCAAAAAGGCTAGCGTTCTGACTCGATTATTTTCTGGATTGATGATATATTACTCTTCATTAAGTGCATTATCAGTTTCTGGAAACCAAATTTTAAGATTTGGAAACAAATCAGGAATTGTTTGAGTTTTTATGATGTTATTCTTATTATGGTCCTGAAAAGTGCTTCTAATCATAGCATGGTAGCAAGAATATTTTAATTTAATTTTCAATTAGCTTTAACGAACCCTTTTTGTCCTGAAAATGTCTTGCGTATAGTGTTTGTAAAAATGGAAAAAAAATGTCTGGAGCGGGATTTGAACCTGCCACCTTTGTAATACCGTGCCAGCACTTCTCCATGCAGCCCGACGTCAGTATTTTTTATCCCAACTGTCACTATTTTTAGCAGTTGTTCGATGGTTCAAATCTCCATTTCTTTGTTAACCTACGTTTTGTCTACACTTTGTCAGTTTCCATGTAAAAACAAATAATGTTTTCACGTTATGCATTTTTCCTTTTTCATCAGATATTGCCTCAAAAGATGCTGACTGCGTCTCATGATGGATCTGTAAAATTGTGGGATTGCTCTGGCATCAAAGATGAAATCACAAGCTTTGGAGACGAAGAAGAGGAAAAAGAAAGGAAGAAAAAGGAAAAAGAAGAAAAGAAAAGAGCAAAAGAGCAGAAGAAGAAGGAAAAGAAAGAAAAGGAGAGATTGGAAAAGGAGAAAAAGAAGAAAGTCTCAAATCAGAACGACGAGAAGGAGAGTTTGCCTGAGAAGAATGATTTCGAAAAAAGTGAAAAAGATCCGGAAGAGAAGAGAGACAAAGGGAAAGAAGAGGTTGGAATAGATGATGAAATCTCCAGAGAAATCGAAATGATTAGTAAAGACATGGATGACTTTTAACAGGAAGGAGTAGAACATACACTCACCTAAATTTGTGTGTGGCATTAAACACTAATCATCTGTAATTATACGCATACACCCAGTCTGCCTTTCTGGCGGTATGACCCAATTTAATAAAAACTGACCAAATCAAACTCTCCCTTAAATTTGAGACCTATGACCAAAGTTGTTAATTATATTTCACATAGGCTGAGTAGTCTATTGAACACCACCGCGCTTGCCCACTATGTCAATAACTATATGTAGGACGTATATAAGTTGATTGAGCTCTGAGTTCGTGTTCGTGTGAGCTAAGTTTGACAGCGATAAAGTACATGATTAATTGATATTGTAACACTTTGATATTCGACACAGCTGCACAATATTAATGATTAATGGAAGTCTACCCGTTATACTTGGTTGCACCTCATGAATTAGATTCAAAAAAGAGCAATAATCTTGTGTCATGCGTAGTTACTTGTCAGGTTTTGTGGATTCGCGTCCGGCAATGACCGATGTTTGCTTTAAAAACAAAGACTTGAACTCTCTCGATATTACTGCTATTAAATATACTACCGGGCTACCTAAGACACTGATTAAGAATGTATTCACAAGTTAAAGTGTGTTCGTGCTAGGAAGTTCGATGGATCAATATGTCAATACCCAGCGTACTGAAGCATTCTTATTTCATTTGAAAGGTTACATTTTTTAGCCGTTGACTGTCCTTGTTAAATTAAGTTTGGATGTCTGCATGTTCTTGTTCCTCCTCAGATTTGCAAGTTTTTCAATTTCTCTTCCCTCGTTTGACAAACGGTTTCTTTGATGGTTTGCTTTATTTCAATTCAGATATCTTTTTTTGTAAATTCATATCATACAAAGTACAGAAACCTGTCTAAGTCTTGTGAAATTCCATTTGGCAGTATTGCACCGAAAGTACTGTGGAAATTTGTTGTATTGTTAGACTAACCCGCCATACCTACATGTACATTATCCTGCATAGCGTGAATCCCTCAGGAAATGAATGATGTCAAAACACTGTGTTGCATTGTAATGATACAAATTACGATGAATTCGTCCATTCTGATGTAGTATTTGTTTCTAATCATCAGCAGAACAAAGTGAGGCCTTTTTTCCCATTGTTTTTATACCATGTTAATCTCACAAATCATCTAAATAATTCATAGTGATAAAACTATCATAACTAAAATTATTATATTCTATAATGGCAGCGGAACATGCTACTTTTTAGAGATTGGGTCGATATAAGTGTACTTCAAAAATTAATCCTTCAATCAATATGAGTTATATCCGTTGCAAGAGAAGGTGTCTCAATAATGTTACACCGATTTCAATAAGTGCTGCTCAGCATGTCAAATACATCATCACGTGGGCTCATTTATTTATCAAATTCTCACTATACAAAGCCATATATGAATAATTGTTCAAAAATATTTTTCTTTATAAACTGCTATATATGTATAATATTTTCTATAGTTTGTGCCAAAGTATTTACTCCGTATTCAAATAGTATACGCTGTATTTTAATAGTAGATATGCAGAAAAATGGAACTTGTTTACATAAAAATTAAAACAGGCGGTCGATACTGATCTGAGATTTAAAGTGTTAGTTAATACTGGTTGTTCAACACGCACCTTTGAGTTTTTGTACTTTTGCAATTAGCCTTTCGTTGCGCTACCAAATCCAAAAAAGAGAACAACTGCGTCAGGGAGAGAAAATGGGAGTGCTTTCTTGAGAAGAGGCTACTATCTCCAGATTTGCTGGTGACAAAAAAATTTGAAACTGACAAAACAAAGTAGAAACGGAGCCATATCAACGTGTGAGATTCTGTATACATTGCGCACTATTACTACTGTAACACTTAACTTGTGGTGTAAATCGAACACATTCGACAGATTGTCTTTGCAGAGTACCCGGCAATTATATTTTTGGAATATTTTAACAATAGCAGTAGAGGGCGCAGGAGAATACAAATGATTCGAAACAACAGCATAACTCCACCAAAATGTTAATGTTCCCAGCTTCTATAATTTTGCAATGATGCTCAAGGTGACGATGTACCTAGTTTGTCTCCTTTTCCCCAGCCTTTGTGGTCGAGTTCGGCCGGCCTATTCTTGACACGGGTTTCTTGATCTTGCGCTCGAACGTCGGGCACACGACTCAAGAACACTGCTCTCGGAACAGGATCACACACCACCTCCTCGTCAGGGTTTTACAGGAACACACGGAAAAACTCGTAAGAAATGGCTTCCAAAGCAATAGACAATGGGAAGTTTTGCAAAATTAACAATAACCCTCCTCAATCCTTCACCTGTTGGAGGACGGAGGAGTGTTAGGGTTAATTATTTTCCGGAACACAGAAATGAATGTTACTAATAAATAGAAAAGAATTCAGCCCGTCCAAACATTAACTCCCGAATAACGTAGCCTACAGGGACGCCGCCATGTTGCATGTTGCTTGTCACTAACTACCAGCGATAACCGGTTGTTTGTTCTCGGCGTTCGAGCGGCTACCCACGAACAACAAATCGAGCTGTTCGTGAAATAAGGGGAACAAGCCGCCAGAACTCGGCCTATGCGTTCCTCAAGAACCTTGTTACTCCTGCCATTCCGTCGGCATGGCGACTTATATATTTTTGTAACGCCCTCTGTAGACAAGGATAAACGCCGTAAAATGTTTTGACCTGCGGAGACAAAGTGAGTATCACTTTGGAATAGTTGAACGATTTTTTTAAATTGAAAGTAATGGTTTTGTTCAGAAGTGCAATACAGTCTAGAATGGACAAAAACAAAACGGACAAATAAACGAAATCTAAGCGCTTTCTTTTCATGGTGTATCGACATTTATTTGTCCTCCAAACTTACCGCTGATTTCTCTTATGAGCAACCTTGGGACAGACATTCCTACTAATTACGGATTTCTATGAAGACAGCTAATAAAACGGAAAAGACAATATTCGTATGTAGAGGGCGCACTGGCTATTCCTGATGGAGAGCTAGTATTGTGACAACTTAGAAGCCATACCTATTAGTAGGCATGAACGTAACGATGAATTGTTCAACTTTGATCACTCGTATGTTGAATCAACCCAAATCGTTATAAATTAAACCATATTTTTTCCACCGATTAGTGTGATTCCTTGCAAAACACACTAGTATCATGCAGCATGCACGTCATACAAGGTCTGACGTTGCAATTCTTTGGTTCTACAGTGTCTAGGTCTAATCACCGATGATCTGTTACGTAATTTGGACTAAAACATTTGATATTCATTTATTTTTATAAGTGCACGCAGAAATGACCTCAAACTTCGAATGCTAACCGGTTATTTCGACTTAGATTTCAAGTAACAGCTGGCTTTTTTTTTTTAAAACTTTTTCCCCTTGGTGGACATCAAAATTATCCTTCGTGTCTTACTTTTTCCCGGAAAATGAAAAAACCAAGCATCCAATGGTATCAACAAAGTGCAACTCTTTCCGTGCAAAATATACTTTTAGATGATTTGGAATTTCTTTGCAGTAAAGTTGTACGTCATAATGTATGAGGTACAAATGGAAAGCGACAACAAAGATTTGATTGTCATTTGTTAAATATCGAATTCAGTATAAGTATGGGAGCCTTTCAGTACCTGACCGTTACAAAAGTATATCTTCCCCGGTTAAGTAAAACGCACCGAGAATGAAGGTCTTCAACATTGCAGAAATATTTCCTCAGGCTCCTCTTTTGTGTAAAACCTACTGTCTAATGGAACTCGGCTGCGCATTCGTGTACTGCTCGTAATTTGGCAATGTGCACGGTAAATGAAGGGAAGAACTTAACAAGAGGGCAGAAACTAGTACGTACTGTCGCCATTTAGGAAGCCCAAGGTTGTCACTATAAACATTTTACACTTGTTATTTGCTTGGCGTGTATCTGTGGAATTAACGTGGCCAATTATAATTTTTTTTATTTTAATTGAGCGTTTCGACTGGTGAAAACTACACTTAACACATTGAAAAAATACTTCGCAAAATACTCAGATAACGTGTTAGATATCCAAAATCTATGATCTGTCTGAAATTAATTGTGATCTTGACCGATTTTCGGCAATGTAGCTGTCCTTAATGACACACGAAGTACTCCATTCTAACTTACAATGCCTTGAAACCCTAGAGATTCCTGTCAGACTGCATGGGACCTTATAAGCAAATATAGGCCTAATATAACCCTTACAGGTTGTCAACTAGGAGCCGTCAATTTGGGGGATATGCTTTCTTCCTTCAGTCATCATTATAAAACGGAGAGGCAAAGGCGGTACATCTCATTTGCGTTCGAACAGATGGGCGGTGTTATCTTTAAAGCTGGACCATCTGTTGTCAGCTGCCAGAATGACGTCTAACCGGCCCTTGCTCTATGGTACCAGCAAGCTTCAGTTTGCTTAAATGGTAAGCATTTGGATGGTTATTAAAAGTTGGATTGAATTAAAACATCCACAATTTATCATAAAAATAATCTCAATTGGAGTGCGCATTCTCTCGATTGAGGCGTGTAATTTGTGGTGAATACCGCCCTCAATAATTGCAGACACTAATTTCGTGATTCTGTTCGTTGTGCTCGGCGAGTTGGAACGAATTGAATACTCGTCTCTGCACGAGCTAAAAAGGTTCATATTTGCATATTTGTTACTGATTACGCTGTTGACTGTTGCCTTTTTCGGAAGTCGTTTTCCCGCTTGATACGTGGCGGTTCATACCGCAAGGCAAAGTCATAGTGATAAATATATAGCCTACCACGCGTCAACAGGAAGTTATAATGATTCGGTTTTAAGTTTTGAGTTTCCCATAACTGCTAGTGAGGTTGGTACATACAACCTGAAGAAATGTGTTTATCACAAAAAACCTTGTCTCCAATAGGAACTGGTTCAATAAGTCATTGAAGAAGTTTTCCAGTAGCTCTTCGTGCCTGTCGACTTGTGAAGTCGAGACATCTAAAATAAATTTGCCCGAAGGAACAAATACACAACTCAATGACGTCAGGACACCTGCTCACACCAACCCCGCATCATTTCGGTTTCTGTGAAATGAAGGCTTTGGGGATGAGTTTTGCTTATGTGCTTATCTTAACTAAGTAGTTTAATAAAAGGAGGCATGACGTAAATTATTTAACCTAAACGTTTAGTATAGGCCAAGTGAAGCTTTTGCTCTCGACATGAATGTATCCAAACACTATACCTGTGTGGTCTTACTCCAGTCGTTTGTGGTTCAGAAGACACCCCCTTCAGGCTTTCTGTGGCCGTCACCGTTTACAAGATTAACTCACTTTTTTTGGTCGGCCAATAAATTCAGTTCTTATCGTCGACCTTGTTTGAGGGATGCTGCGCTGTCGTGGTTTCAGCGCTACTCCAACACCTTGTCTGCCTGAGGATGGTTCACTAGTCCGTGTCAGGCCAGGAGCAACGAGCTAACATCTGCTCCAGGGCCTTGCACTTTACTGAATGTCCCTACAGTAAGCTAAAACGAGCTGTCATACCACTGAGTCTTGTGATTACAACTGCTGGTCTTTAGAATTTAACCCAATTTGGGAGTCGCGAGTGCGGGAGAGGCTTTTTAAACACCGTGCTGTCACAGTTTCGATGCTTGTGAATGTACCTTTTTCAAAAGTGGAGTCGTAATTCATAAATAATTAGAAAAGGTTAGGTAAACTCTCAGAGATGCTTCATTATCTTCAATCGAAATTATTTCAATTAACACTTGCAGTATTAATTCGATTCTGATATTTTAGAAAAGAGACAACTGTCATACATCATATAAGTATTCGTAAAACATAACTCTTTTTTTCATTGCTTAATGGCAATAATTCATTCATGCTTCTTGGTAAGGCAATAGTTTACTAGAGATTTCCTAGCAAGCTCATCCTAATGCCTCAAGGGTGTGAAAGTGAAATGTAAATTGGAAGATTCGGGATGTTTTGTTCTGAACAGATCAGAAAACAGTACATCCGAAGTTTCGCTCTACGTTGTCTTTCAGATGCCAGATTTAGAAATGGTTGTGCTGAACAAAAGGAAAAAACTAATTAGTGAGAACTCGAGAAACTCACTCTCTCCCGACAGAAGTGAAGTTGTTTTTCTGTACGTGTCATGCACACCCTACCTGAAGTCAGCATTGTCAAGTCCAAACCAGACTAATATGCTACTTGAATCCAAAGTATACATGTCCCGTTGATTTAGCGAAGTTACACCACACCTCACTGCTGTCTTACTCCATTCTTCACAAAAGTAACCCAAGAATTCAGTTTCAAGCAATAAAGCCAAAAGCCTGTTGACATTTATGCGGTGTGCCTTCTAATCCAATTACTGTCTAAATCCTTAGTAAGATATAACCTTACGGTAGTTTCAATTACTCCAAAGGGAATGTACACTTGTGTCCAAATGTGTACAAAGTTAGTAGCCTACATCCCCTAACAATCTAAAAGCCCATGGAATCCTCAATGTTCGTGTATCATATAATGGAAACTTAGGCTTGACTTTTATCTTATATTCGACTGTCATTTATGATATATTTGCGCGGATATATAGATTTTATTGTCAGCTTGATTTGAAACCGCAAGTTG